ATAGTCAGCAGAGAAATGTCAGCAATATGGGAACAGTGAGCAGCAGCTTGTGACAGATTCCGAAGGCTCAAGCAGTCCCAGAGAAGCGCAGAGGTGTCTGTAAGGCAGGAGCAGGAAGCTGGAGATGCTGGGGAGTTCCAGCTTGGGCAAAGCCCCCTGTGCTTCTCTAGGTGCTCCTGTTCACTCCCATAAACAAGGTAGGGAAATACAATGTGAGAGAAAGCCCGGGAGATGGGCACAAGTGGGAGCTCAAACCAACACCACAGGATTAGAGGAGGCTGGGGGGCTCCAAGGGTCTATCTTGAGCTGGAGGGATGCCTCTTCTCTCCTTGGGGCTGAGCAGGGGACAGCAGGGCTGGTGGGCACATCAAATATGGGGGATCCACAAAGCACCAGGGATGGGGTTTAGAACAAGCTGCTCTAGTGGAAGGTGTCCCTGCCCATGGCAGAGATTGGAACTGGAAGAGCTTTAAGTTCCCTCCCAGCTCAAACCAGTCTGGGATTCTGTGATTAACTGGATGTTTCAGGTGTTTGATCCACCTTTGCTTCCCTGTTTCCCCCAGGACCAGAGAAAATTCCCCATTCTCTGAACGAAATATTGCAGAAAACCGAACTGACACAACTTTAGAGCTCAGCACCCTGCATGGAATCAGAGAATGACATGGGTTGGAAGGGACCTCAGAGCTCATCTGGTCCCATGCAGCCCGCCTGCCTGAGGAGGCTGCTGGTCTGGATGGGAGGAAGGTGCGATGCTGTGGTGTTCCTTTGGAAAGGAGAGAAAAAACAAGGAAGAGCTTTTCTTTTTAGCAGCTTTAGCAGCCCAATTGCTGTCAGGGCGCCTGTGCTGTGCTGAGCACCAGCAGCGCTGGGCACCGCCAGCCAGAGCTTCCTTACCGAGCAAATGTCACGACAAAGCAGGTTTATCCCAGCCCCCTCCCGGGAAAAATGTCCACCTTTGGACCATTTGTGTATTGTTTATCACCTGGTTTGGGACCGTGACCCAGGAATGGGGGGAGAAATGTGGCACCAGGCCCCAACTGTTGGCTCTGTGGGAGCATTCTGTGTTTCCTATTGATGCCCTCTAGTGATGCTGAGCAGCCAAAAGGAGGTCTGGGAGATGAGTTATTCTCGTCTGTCTTCCACCACCCCCACCGTGGCCTTTCATTGCTGTCCATCCTCTGCAATCAGAGATGCTTCCAAGAGAAAAAGGAACGAGTAAGGACTGTCTTCTAGGCACACAGCATCTGCAGAGGCTTTGCTGAGCCCGTCCTTGACACCGACTCCCAAGCACATCGCAGGGAGAATTTATGACTTCAGATCCCTCATAAACGCCAAGTCAGTGTGTGATAGATGGGCTGGAGCTCATCCCAGGATGCTCTCTGCAGCAGCTCCAGCCACTGTCCCTGGGAGCAGCAATAAAATGCCATTGACAGGAGGGACAAGCCTGTGAGCAAGCTGCTCCAGTGGAAGGGGTCCCTGCCCGTGGCAGAGGATGGAACTGGATGAGCTTTAAGGTCCTTCCCAACAGAGACCAGGCTGGGATTCTGTGAATCCAAGGGAGAACTTCAGGGTGTCCCGGATGCGGGGCTGGGGATGGAGACAACCAAGACAAAGCGAACACAAAGCAGGACAAGCTCCTCCGAGGCTGCCTGAGCACTGAGACCTGGGTGAGACACCCTGCTCTGTGAGACACCCCGCTCTGCTCTGCCTTGCACCGGGAGGCGCGGCGGGGGCACCGGGGGCCGTGCGGGGCCGTGCCCGGCTGCAGAGCAGGGGATGCTGCGGGAACCGAGCAGCGCTCACACGCGCACCGCAGCCCGGTACCGGCCCCACCGGTACAAGCGGCACCGGCACTGGTGGAGCAGCAGCGACGCCCAGCGGCAGGAAGGTGCTATCGCCTCCGCATCTTCTTCCATGCCCGTGCCAGGCACAGAGCATCCCTGCCCCATCCCTGGCAGTGCTCAAGGCCAGGTTGGACACAGGGGCTTGGAGCAAGCTGCTCCAGTGGAAGGGGTCCCTGCCCGTGGCAGGGGTTGGAGCTGGAGGAGCTTTAAGGTCCCTTCCAACACAAACCAGCCTGGGATTCCATGTGACCCGAGGAGCAGCAGGAACACCTATGGACCATCCCACCCACAGGTGGTTTCAGGATCCCTGACACAGGTGCATTAACCTCCTGAGCGATGGGCAGCTCTGAGCAGCCCCTTCCTGACTGCACAAGGGTTCTGGTGCATGCCCTGGAGCATAGAATTATAGAATCTCAGCTTGGAAGGGACCTCAAGGATCATCTGATCCAACTTTTCTTGTCAAGCTAGACCAGATGTCCCAGCACCCTGTCTAGCCAATCTTGAAAAGGCTGGGGGGAAAAAAGAGTAGAAGGGCCCCTTACTGGTGCTATAGCATCATAGAATCAATCCAGTTGGCAAAGACCTTTAAAATCATCAAGTCCAACCATGCCTCAGCACTGCCAAGGCCACCACTAACCCATGCCACCACGTCCCATCACCTGGGAGGAAGCGGTGAGGTTTGGAAGGTGCAGGTTGGTGAGCTGTCCTCGGAGGCACACACACCAACAGCTCCTGCTGTCCCTGCCCAGGGCTGCCCCTTTGCTCCCAGCCCTCCCTCAGGGGGCTATGGCCGTGCTCTGTGGGGATGCAGAGCTCAGCAGCCCCTTCTCTTCCCCCAGCCCTGCCTCCGCCTCCAAGCGCTCCTCTCCCTCGCTGATATCCCAGGAATGCCGCCCAGCACGAGGTGTTTAATCCTTCACAAAGGGCTGAAGCCGCGCTCTGGCATCCCCCCTGCTGAGGCTGCCAGCTCAGAGAAAAGGCTTTTTGTGCCTGTTCCCAGAGCCCATTTCCACAGAACCCTTTCAGCACCATCCTTCCTCAGCTCTAAGTGCAGCAAAACTGTTCCAGGCATCCACTGCCCTTCCCTTTCCACCAGGCACACTCGTGGGCATCTCAGATGAGCCGCTCCCAGCTGCAGATGGAAAACCAGGGGGACCCTCTGCAAAAGGAGCAATTACCCAATGTGGGAACCCTGATGGGGTTTTCTCTGCCCAGGATATTTCCCAGGTGCCATTTCAGAGGCAGCCTCTTTTATTACGCTGGGCTGGGTACCAGCTGATGATCTGCACTGCTCCCCAGTCCCTGCCTGCTTGCTGCCAGGGGACAGATGTCCCTCCCAGCATGCTGGCCTGAGGTGGAAGCACTTTAGTGCTGGACATGAATCACGCACATGATCAGCATGAGAAACACCCGGCACAGGAGGATCAGAATCAGCATTCTCCAGGGAAACGGCAGAGGATGGATGCTGGGAGTGGGGCGCGCAGCCTGGCAAGGGCTGCTGCAGGGCAAGAGCTCTGGAGAGCGAGGATCCAGCCCTGGTCCCAAGGATGAGGCAGGATTGGCCTTTCCTGAGCACTGGGCTGGAGGAAGATGGCGGTGAGGAAGGCTCTGCAGAGGGGTCTGGACAGGCTGGATCATGGGCTGTGCCAATGGGATGGGGCTCACCAGGCAGAGTGCCAGGTCCAGCATTGGAGTCACAACTCCCTGCAACGCTCCAGGCTTGGGAAAAAGCAGCTGGAAACTGCTCATGGAGAAGGAGCTGGGGGTGCTGGTTGATGGAGCTGAACATGAGCAGCTTGTGCCCAGGCAACCCCCAGCATCCTGGCCTGGATCAGCACCAGTGCGGCAGCAGGGCCAGGGCAGGGATTGTGCCCCTGCACTGGGCACTGGTGAGGCCGCACCTCAAATCCTGTGCTCAGCTCTGGGCCCCTCACTGCAAGAGAGACATTGAGGGGCTGGAGCGGGGCCAGAGAAGGGCACTGGGGCTGGTGCAGGGCCTGGAGCCCAAGTGTGATGGGGAAGGGCTGAGGGAGCTGGGGGGTTCAGTCTGGAGAAGAGAAGGCTCAGGGGGGACCTGATCGCTGCCTCCAACTGCCTGACAGGAGGATGGAGCCCAAGACTTCGTGTGCATAACCTTGTTGCAGCAAGGAGCTGAAACAGAATCGTTTTGCTCTCAGTAGCGTGGAAGAGTTAATGCAGCACAAGGAATATGTTGAAGGAGATAGATGGTTTCCCATAGCGGGCTTGCCACACAGTTCTGTGCACTGTCAGTGCCACTAGCTGGCTCTCACCATGGAAGGATGGGACATCTCAAAAGGAAACCTTGCAAATGAGTTCATGGAACCTCCGTGTTTTCACTGATAATTACAGCAATGCCAGTGCTGCAGCATGGAGGAAAAAACATCTACTGTAACTATTCATGTATTCATGCTGATCCTGAGGTAGCTGTTGCTCACCCAGACAGGGACTGACGTCCAGTGGTTGCCGTTTGCTGCCCTGGGGGGTGCTTTGGGGCAGATAAGTTTCGCATCACAACTGCTGGAGGTACTCAAAGCTTCGGGCTCTTCCTCCACTCTGCTCAGGACTTGGTTTCCCACCGCAGCAAAGCTGGCAGGGTGCTTCTGCCTGCGCTGAGCATCCCCAAGCACAAGGTGTCACTGAGGAGCTGGGCTCGGGCCCCTCTTGAGGACCCTGTGGTCCTCCAGCAGTCAGGAGCCCATTATCCCTGCAGGGTTGGTCCCAGTACTCACTTCGGGCCCCTTCAGTGGGATGGGGACCACTTCAGGTCCCCCCTCGGAACCTCCATAGCACTCCCTGGGGCTCCTCAAGGGCACGGGTCTCTCTTTGACCCCCCCTCCATCCCCCCCTCAGGGGCATGGGGCTTCCTCCAGCCCCACTCAGGGGGTCCCCTCCTGCCCTCTGTGCCCTCCTCGGAGGGATGGAGCTGACCGAGGGGATGGGAACCGGGTGCGCGGGGCAGTGCGGTCCCGGTGCCGGGCGGCGGGGCGGGGCGGGGCGGTGCCGGGCGGCCGATACTTAAGGCGGTGGCGCGGTGCGGGCGGCCCCGCCGTGCCCATGGCTCCGCCGCTCACGGCCCGGGCGCTCTGCGCTGCCGCCCGCCTGGGCGCCCCCCGCCGCCCGCGCTCCGCCCCGGCCACCGCGCCCCGCGGGGCTGCTCCGCTGCCGGCTGCGGGCAGCGGGGCCCGACAGGAGCTGCCGCCGCCGCCTCCCCCGCCGTGGGGCGCGGAGCGGGCCCCGCCGCCGGCCGTGGATTTCGGGGACACGCGGGAAGCGTTCCGCAGCAAGAGCAGCGCCGAGCTGCTGCGCGGGCTCGTGGTGCTGGGGCTCTGCGCTGTGGGGCCGCTGGTGGAGCACAACCGGGAGGTGAGTGCCTGGGGCTGGTCCCCGGGCGCCCGGCGGGGGAACCGCCGGCTCTGGACCGGGGGAGAGGGTGCCGGTCCCGGGAGGGTGTCGCTGTGCCTGCTCCGGGATGTCTCTGGCCCGGAGGGTCCTCGTCGCGGGGGTTGCCCGCTCCGGGAGGTGCTGGTCCCGGGGGGCTGTCGACGCGGGGCTCTGCCGGTCTCTGATCTGCTGTTGTTCCACAGCTGCTGCGGCTGTGCCAGCGGGTGCTAGGGCAGGCGCTGTTCGAGCGGCTGATGAAGATGACCTTCTACGGGCAGTTCGTGGCCGGGGAGGACCAGGAGGCCATCAAGCCGCTCATCCGGCGGAACCTGGCGTTCGGCGTGGGCGCCGTGCTGGACTACAGCGTGGAGGAGGACCTGAGCGCCGAGGAGGCCGAGCGCCAGGAGCTGGAGTGAGCGCGGGGACCCGCGAGGAGGCGGTGGCGGTGGCGGGACAGCGCGCGCGGGGCGCGGGACTTGGCCGAGCCGCTATTGGCTGCTCCCGCCCATCCCCCCCGCTCCTATTGGCTGGGGGGTGTTGTGCGTCACGGCCACGCCGCCCTTGGCGAGCTCCCACCACCAGCACCCCCCGGGTGCCGCCATCCGCCCCCCCCAGCATCCTGCTGGGGTTCTGCCCCCCCATTGCCCCTTCCCTCCTGGGTGCTGCCCCCCCCATTGCCCCTTCCCTCCTGGGTGCTGCCCCCCCCATTGCCCCTTCCCTCCTGGGTGCTGCGCCCCCCCCCCATTGCCCCTTCCCTCCTGGGTGCTCCCCATTGCCCCTTCCCTCCTGGGTGCTGCCCCCCCCATTGCCCCTTCCCTCCTGGGTGCTGCCCCCCCCATTGCCCCTTCCCTCCTGGGTGCTGCCCCCCCCCCATTGCCCCTTCCCTCCTGGGTGCTGCGCCCCCCCCATTGCCCCTTCCCTCCTGGGTGCTGCCCCCCCCATTGCCCCTTCCCTCCTGGGTGCTGCCCTGCCCCAGGGGTCCTTTCCCCCTGCACACCCCAGGCAGTGTTCCCGGTCTCCCACCGTCTGCCAAGGCCAGGCTCCAGCCCAAAGCCGTTGGCAGTTTCCCACACCTCGGGCTCCACTTGATGCAGCTCCGCTCATGGGATCACTGTGTCACGGTCACAGGGATGACGCAGCACTCCCTGGATGAGGCTACAGCAGTCCCGTGTCCCTGTGCGCACCAGGGGCACCATTCGGCTGCCACACGCTTGTCACCTGTTGACAATACAGCACAAATGGCTTTTGGGGTGCCTGGCAAGTGGGGTTTGGGTCACTGTGGGGTTGCAGATGCTGCTGTCTCCTCCCAGACACTGCTGGGAGCCTTATCTCTGCTCGCCACCTGAGTGCTGCTTATCAGGGGCTCCCTTCTTGCTGCTGCTTCCCAGTAATCCCCATCTGTGTGAGCATCCTGCTTGTCCATGGTGGGAGCAGTGTGCAGGCCGCAGCACTGGTGTGGGAGCTGCAGGGGATGCAGGGCTGCACCCTTCCAGCCACTTCTTGCCGACTGTGCTTTGGGAGTTTAATGTATAAATGCTCCCAATACATTGCTGCAGCCTGGGGTGGGTCTTTGGATGGCGAGGAGCTCTGGTCTGTTCAGGAGCAGCAGCCTCTTCCCAGCGGATGTTGTCTATCGCCATGGGGCTGAGCTGGTCGCAGTGAGCTGGTGCTGCCCTTCCTTGCCTGGCTGTGCCTATGGCTAATCACCAAGGGCACCTGCATCCTGCCCAGGGCTGTCAGTGGTTTGGGAGCTCTCTGGGCTGTGCTGGTCCTCCTGCTGGAGAAGGTTTGGGAGTTGCATGTGTAGGGCTCCTTGCTAGGTGAGCTTTGCCTGTGCTGCATGGGTCTATCCCACCCTTGGTACAGCCCTGCATTGGACCCCATTCCCTCTGATGCCACCCTGCCTAAGCCCCAGTAGGGTTTGCTCCAACGGATGATCAGTAAGGAGTGAAAAATGCTGTCCTGGAGATCATCCAGGGATGTCTTGGGGCAGGGATGAGCAGTGGGTGACATTGGAAGGGCTGTTAGACCCTGGCCCATGCCAAGCATCACTCTGGGTCCTCCTTGGCTGTGTTCAGGGGCAAAACCCCAAGCTCTGCCAGTGCTGCTGAGCTGGGCTGTGGGAGGCTGAGAGGGATGAGCAGCCCCAGTTCGTGGGTGCTGGGCTCTGGAGCTGCACCCTTCTGTCCCACCAGCACTTTGGGGTTTCACCCTGTGGCAGAGGCACAAACCAGATGCAGCCAGCAGGCTTTTTGGTCTCCTGGTGCCGTCTGCTCTTGTTTCCATCAGGCAGAGCCATGCTGGGTTTCCTGGCTCTTATGGAGCAAGCTGGAGATGGCAGCAGGGCAATGCCCTTCTCCTGCCCCCAGCACTGTCAGGTGCCCTGAGCGGCTCTGCCATGCAGCGTGTGGACTTTGCTCCCTCTAGAGAGTTCTTGTGTGGAGACCTGATATCTGTCCCATGGGATTACGATGCTGCCTGGCAACCAGCCTCCCAACGCTGACACCTCCCCTCCTCCTGCTCCCAGCACACTCATGCATGTGCCCCATGGTCCCCAGGATGGTTTCTGCTTAGTCTGAAGCAATGTGAGGAGGTTCTTGGCTGGTGCATGCTGGCAGCTCGCACATGGGCAGGCTTGAAGGCCTCTTCTGCCAAGAGCTTTGCTTTATTCCTAGCTGCACAGTTTCACCCATAGCTCCAGCCTGGGCTTCATGGGACCAGGGCGTTTTCCTTGGATGTGGTAACTGAGGGACCACTTCTCCTTGGTGTGCCCCCATCTGCTCTGCCAGGCCTGTTTGCTGATGAGCAAAGCAAATGCACTGTTCTCATGGCACCCATGGGTGAAACGGATGATTCCTGCTTCGTTTTGACAGAGGGATCTGTGTGTTCCTCCTGGTTATTGGAGCCTGATCAGAACCTTCCCGACAGCCGCACTCTGCTGCGGCAGCCGGATCACCACCCCCTGCAACCCCATGGGCTGCATCAAGTCTTCATCACCTGCTTTGCTTTGTGCATGGTTTGGGTGACTGTGAGCTCCTGGGTCCTGAATGTGGCTCCCTGCTGGTCACAGCCTGCCAGGAGCAGTGGGGCAGTGCCTGGAGATGTGCCCTGCTCTCAGTGTGCAGGAGGGTTGGGCAGGTATGAGCCGGGTTAAGTGGCACTTGGCTAGCGCAGGAATGGCTTTGTTGGCCAAGACTAACCCTGCAAAGAAAGCGGACGGTGAGCTCAAGGAAGAGCTGTTTCTGCAGCTGGAAGGAGCTTCCTTTATTCTGCTCGATGCAGAACAATAAAGCGAGCACCATGGCACTGCCTCGAATGCCCCCCTCGGGGAACAAGGGCTCCATGCAGTCATGCTGCAGGAATGCTGTTGGAAAGGGTGTGTTTGGCTTCAGGAGCAGAAACCACTTCAAATTCAAGGGTGATGTTTGCTGATCTTGTGGCCAGCGTTCACCCTAGGTAGGCCAGAGGAGGTTTATGCTCCCTGCAGCTTGTCCTCAGCATCTTGGATGCTGCGCACAAGGTGTGCTTTGGGGTTCACAGCTGCAAATGGGACCTGCCTGCAGGACCCATCTCTCTTGGCATGTTCTCAGAGTCACAACAGTGTGTCTTCCCCTGCGCCACGCTGCTGGATCCACAGGGACCCTCCATCCCTCTGCTCTGCTCTCATGAGGCCCCACTTGCAGCACTGTGTGCAGCTCTGGTGTCCTCAACATAAGAAGCACATGGAGCTGTTGGAGTGTCCAGAGACCAGGACGATGATCAGGGCTGGAGCACCTCCCGTATGGAGACAGGCTGAGAACACTGGGGCTGTTCAGCCTGGAGAAGAGAAGTTGTGTGGAGACCTCAGAGCAGCTTCCAGTGCCTGAGAGGGGCTACAAGGATGCTGGAGAGGGACTCTTCATCAGGGACTGTAGCAATAGGACAAGAGTGATGGGTTCAGACTGAAACAGGGGAGATTCAGGTTGGAGATAAGGCAGAAGCTCTTCCCTGTGAGGGTGCTGAGGCGCTGGCACAGGGTGCCCAGAGAAGCTGTGGCTGCCCCATCCCTGGCAGTGCTCAAGGCCAGGTTGGACACAGGGGCTTGGAGCAAGCTGCTCCAGTGGAAGGGGTCCCTGCCCGTGGCAGGGGTTGGAGCTGGAGGAGCTTTAAGGTCCCTTCCAACCTAAACCATTCAGTGATTCACATGGACTTCACTGTCTCTTCTTCCACCCTCTGTATCTGGGGGCAGAGCCTGCTGGACACGGTGCCTGCTGCTCCCCACAGGCTCCAGCTGCCCCTGCCCCAGCTCACACCAGGCTTTGCTGCGCTTTGAGCGATGTGGGGATGTTCCTGGCTCCAGGAAGCAGGAGGAAAGGGCTTGTCTCCGCTTGTTTATGCTTCCAGCAACCCCTAATCCCTGTCACAGGGTTTCCATGTGGGAGAACACGTTCTGAGACCATGTCACGCGCCTCCGCTCTCTTGTGCAAGTCCTCTGGCTCTGGACGGGTGGCTTCGCTCCCCGTGTTCTTTCCCACTGCTGGGTACAAGCAGTCTCAGGGCAGTGACTCCAAGGCAGAGATGTCTTGGAGGGGATGGCTCCGCTGTCACTCAGGGCTGCTGTCCAGGGGCTGGCAGTGCTCCTGGGTGAGACCCAGGGTCTGTGGCTGGATGAGGGTGTCATCAAGAAGGCTTTCCTGCCCGAGGAGGATCTCATGACTTGGCCAGTATCCCCCAGGCTGTCAGAGCCCTGTTATCGCTGTGGCAAAGAGCTTGGGCTTGAAATTACATCTGAGGTCAGCTGGAGTTGAAGCTGAGTCTGTAAGTGACGGGCTACTGCCAAGGCACAGAGGAGCATGGAGCAGCTCAGGATCCACAGCTTGATGGGCCCTGCATCAAGCTCCCTGCTCCTGGTCTGGATGCTGCTGCCTGCAAAGTGGGAGGTGTCAGGTTGAGTTTGGTGCCACTCAATGAGTGGTGTGGTGGAGATGAGCCCTTGGCACCACCAATGCTGACCTTGTCCTTGCCACAGGATGGGCTGTTTGAGAGCAGCTCTGGACCCTGGGACAGAGCATCCTCCCTGTGCTGCCTCAGGGCCTCCAGGTAACACTTGCCTGGATGGTGAAACCCCCTTGCTTTCCATGAGTTTGCAGCATCTGATGGCATCTGTGCCATCTGACCTGGCAGTAGAGCTCAGGCTGAGCATCACTTGATCCATTGGTGATGGGATGGTGAGGGAAATGCAAGGTCCAGGGCAGCAGCAGCAGGGGAGCCCCAGAGCTGCCCTGGCCACCAGTGTGGGGTTGCAGGGAGTTGCTGACCTGGTCCTTACCTTCCCTGTTTCTCTTCTTAGCTCCTGCACCTCTGCAGCCGAGAAGGAGATGGGAGGTGAGTGCCCCAGCCTCTCCTGCTGATAGGAGATAGCCTGAAGGCCCAGTGACGGGGCAGGGCACGAGTGGTGTGGGGGAAGGACCCAGCTCCTGCAGCCTCAAACATGAGCTGGATGAGGAGCATCGTGGCTCTTGGCCAGAGGAGCAGAGGCTCATCCTGTGCTTGGCAGCAGGGCAGGCCGGGCGCTCTGCAGCCTGCAGGGGCTCTGCCCAGGGCCAAGCCAGAGCCTCTCTCCCCAGCACCCACGGCAGAAGCCCCTGGGAGGTTTCAGGAGCTCGGCGGGGCTGCGGAGCCCATCTCCATCCCTTTCACCTTCAGGAGCAGAGCAAAGGGAGAAGCAATACCGAGCGCACCCGGGATTTGGGGACCGCCGTGGTGGGGTCATCAGCGCCCGCACTTATTTCTATGCTGATGAGGCCAAGTGTGACCAGCACATGGAGACCTTCCTCCGCTGCATCGATGCCTCAAGTAAGTGCTTCACATGTCCTGAGGAGCCCCGCTGGGCCTGGGGGCTGCAGGGACCCTGCTGCCATACTGTGGTGCCCCAGCACCCTGCCTCGGGTCAGCTCTGCTGCTGCTCCTCCATGCAGGTGGCAGCTCTGAGGACGGCTTCTCAGCCATCAAGCTGACGGCACTGGGCAGACCTCAGTTCCTGGTGAGTGCCAGGGCTCTGACCAAGGTGACGTGGGGCAGAGCCAAGGCCATGGGTGATGCTTCTGTGGGGCAGGCACTTTGGGATGCCAGGCTTGCTGCAGCGGCATCTCTACAGATAGCAGAGGGCAGTGGACACCAACAGACTGTCCCCCGTGTGCCCAAGACCACCCTGAAGACCCTGCCTCAGCTTTTGGGGACACAAGAAGATCTCGGAAGTGTAAAGTTCCGAGGGCATGGGGGTCCTGCACTGCTGGGCTTGGCACCTGCTTGGCCAAGGTGCGCTGCTGTAGGGTCAGGGTCTGCCATTGGGGTACAGTCTGGCAAAGCTGTGGCAGGATGGGGTGCTCCGGGCCGGGGGCCTCAGCTCAGGCTCCCTCCGCAGCTGCAGTTCTCAGAGGTGCTGGTCAAGTGGCGGAGGTTCTTCCATCAGATGGCAGCGGAGCAGGGCCAGGCCGGGCGGGCAGCACTGGAGATGCGCCTGGAGGCAGAGAAGCTGCGGGTGAGGCGGGTGATGCCCGAGGGAGGTGGATGTGCTGCCGGAGAGACCTGCACCCCCCTGAACCTGGAGCAGTGAGAACACTGATGTTCCTTCTGGTGGCAGGAGTCCCTGGCCAACCTCGGCATCGCAACCAAGGCAGAGACCCAGCGCTGGTTCACAGGAGAGAACCTGGGCATAAGCGGGTAAGCTGCATGTGATGCAGGACACTGGGGGCCCTTGTCTCTGTACCTCAGGCTGGGGTGCAGCAGCAAAGGCAGGTCTCCAAAGGGCAGCACTGGACTCAGCGACCAAGCATAGAGGAGGTCTGGGTGGAGGTGACAAGACAGGTTAGGGTGGCACCTCACTTGCTAGAGGGGTTGGGAGCTGGTAAAGACCTCCCTACCCCTGCAAGACATGAGCATGGAGCCAGCTCTCTGCTCCCAGCACCGTGGACCTGCTGGACTGGAACAGCCTGATTGACAGCCGCACCAAGCTCTCCAAGCTGCTGCTTGTGCCCAACATGCAGGTGGGTGTCCATCGGTGGTACCCTGCCAGCAGGGTGCGGGTGCATGGGCTGGTGGCCGTGATGCTGGCTGCTGTCTGTGCTAGCAGAGCCTGGCCACACCATGACCCACTGTGTGCAGCTACCAAGCTGGCAGGGTGGGTGCTGGGAGCTGGAGTGGCAGCAGCCCCACAGATGGGCTTCCCCCAGGGCTGTTTCTGCCCCATGGGCAAGGCTGGATGCAGGCAGGGTGTCACAGCCTGTTCTGCTTTCAGACTGGGCAGCTTGAGCCTCTGCTCTCACGCTTCACTGAAGAGGAGGATCTGCAGATGAAGAGGATGCTGCAGCGGATGGATGTCCTTGCCAAGGTGAGGGGGAGCTGGGGATGTGGAAGCTGGGCATAGGCTCTTACACAGAGGGGGTGACATGGTATCAGAATCCTTTGAGTTGGAAGGGACCTTAAAGCTCATCCAGTGCCAACCCCCTGTCACGGGCAGGGACACCTTCCACTGGAGCAGATAGCTCCAAGCCCCTGTGTCCAACCTGGCCACAGGTGTCAGGTGCCCCCATGAACTCACCCCACATGTCACTCCCCCCCAGAGAGCCACCGAGACGGGCGTGAGGCTGATGGTGGACGCAGAGCAGAGCTACTTCCAGCCCGCCATCAGCCGCCTCACCCTGGAGATGCAGCGCCGCTTCAACAGGGAGCGGGCCATCATCTTCAACACCTACCAGTGCTACCTGAAGGTGAGCTCCAGCTGCAGGCTGGGCAGGAAGGACCTGCTGGATGGAGACCTTAGCTCTTGAAGCCATGGGGATGCATAGCTCAGGGATGGTTGCCTTGGAGGCACTGGTGCAATGGCCTTGTGCCATCTCTTCCCCCTGGTCCCAGGAGGCTTATGACAACGTGACGGTGGACGTGGAGCTGTCGCGCCGGGAGGGCTGGCACTTCGGCACCAAGCTGGTCCGTGGTGCCTACATGGAGCAAGAGCGGGAGCGGGCGGCCCAGATCGGCTACGAGGATCCCATCAACCCCACCTATGAGAAGACCAATGAGATGTACCACAGGTAGGGGCAGCCCCAGCCACGGTCCTCCCTCTCATCCCACCAGGTACAGGCTTCAGCAGCCTCACCACGAGCCCCTGTACCGCCTTGCAGGTGCCTGGACTATATCCTGGAGGAGATCAAGCACAGCCGGAAAGCCAATGTGATGGTGGCATCTCACAATGAGGACACAGTGAAGTTCACCCTGCGCAGGTGACTGCTGGCCAGGCATGGCAGGGACTGGGCATCCAGCAGAGCTGCAGTGAGATGTGGCTTGTCGGGTCTCACCCAGTGGGATGCCACCCCATGTGCTCTGCTGTCTCTGCTGTTCCTCATGCCAAGGCTTGGCTTGCAGGATGATGGAGCTTGGCATCCACCCCTTGGAGAAGAAGGTGTACTTCGGGCAGCTACTGGGCATGTGCGACCAGATCACCTTCCCCCTAGGTGAGTGCTGGGAGCAGCAGGGATGCGGCAGTCGTGTTCCTGCCCTATGGAGTCACCCTTGGGGTCTGCAGGGTGGACAGAGCCAGGATGTGCCTGTGAGAGCACCACTGGTTGAGAACAGTGCCCTGCGGCCTCTGTCACAGAATCCCAGCCTGGTTTGGGTTGGAAGGGACCTTAAAGCTCCTCCAGCTCCAACCCCTGCCATGGGCAGGGACCCCTTCCACTGGAGCAGCTTGCTCCAAGCCCCTGTGTCCAACCTGGCCTTGAGCACTGCCAGGGATGGGGCAGCCACGGCTTCTCTGGGCACCCTGTGCCAGCACCTCAGCACCCTCACAGAGTGGGTTCTGATCTCAAGCACACACTGAAGCAGGGCCAGGAGGAGCTTCTCCTCACCCAGCATCCCCAAGTCCTTCTCAGGGCTGCTACATCCAGCCTGCATCTGTGCTGGGGCTTGCCCTGACCCAGGGCAGGGCCTTGCACTTGGCCTCATTGAGCTCCATGAGGTTTGCATGTCCCATCTCTCCAGCTTGCCCCTTCCCTTTCCCAGCTGTGCGGAATGCTGTGACTCCTGCATGGGTTTGGGCAGGATGCAGGTGGAGATTCACATCTGTCTTTTGGAGGTCCCATAAGACCATGATGGCTGCACAGGGAGATTCCCACTGTGGTCTATGAGCAGAGACTGGGTTGTCTGAGGGGTGGCAGAGGCTGGTCCTGGCAGGCACAAACCTCCCTTGTACCCTCTGGCTCTGATGGAGCTGCACACCCAGCACTGGGCAACAGCCTCTTGGGTGACCTTGTCCTCTCCTCTGCCCCTGGCCCCGGTAACACTGGGGCCCAGAGCCAGGGATGCGCAAGGGTCCAGGTCAGGGAATGATCCCCTTGCCCGCACTGGTGGCCAGAGCAGAGCCCTGCACCCAGGGGAGCTGTGGGAGGCAGAGGGGCCGTTGTCCAGCCCGGCCGTGGCTCTGCCCCAGAGCTCCCATCGCCAGCGGGGTTTGGCTGCAGCCTCCTCTGCTCATGCTGCAAAAATGTGTTAACTTGATGTTTCTGGTTGAACGCTTCTTCCCTTGGCCCGGCCCCGCTCCCGACATTCCCAGGGCTCCTGGTGACCTCGGCGCCTTCCCAAGCTCCCTGTGCTGAGCAGGCTCGGCCTCATCCGCCTGCTCCCAGGCTCCCCTCCCCAGTGCTGGACCACAGCCTCCAGCCGCTGCATCCCTCCCACCCGCATCCTCCGCTCACTGGCACAGCCTGAGGGGCACGGGAGGGATGGGAGGTGAGGGGGAGGCTTTTGGCTTCCTTCTCCCCCTCTTTTGTCTTTTTTTTTCCTCTTTTTTTCCTTCCTTCCCCCTTTTTTGGCTTTCTTGGTCCTTTCCAGCCCCTCTCTCTCCTCCAGGTCAGGCTGGCTTCCCTGTCTACAAGTATGTGCCCTACGGGCCGGTGCAGGAGGTGCTGCCCTACCTGTCCCGCCGGGCCCAGGAAAACCGGGGCTTCATGGAGCGGGCGAACCGGGAGCGGAACCTTCTCTGGAGGGAGATCAAGCGGCGGCTCCTTGCTGGCACCTTCTTTAGCTCCAGCCACTAACCCCACCTGTGCCTCCAGCCCACCACCTCTTGTGCCTTCACCTATGACCACTGCTGCTCTGCCCTGTTGCAGGTGCCCTCCCAGCACCCTTTTCCCGAGGAGGGGACATGTCCTTGTTGCTCTCTGAACCCCACACTACTGTAGGGCTGTCCCCCCATCCTCTCGCAGGGGCTGTGCTGTGAGCGCTGCCCCGGGGGGTTCCCATTGCAGCCCCAGGTTTGGCTGCCTGCTCTCTGCCATGGGCTCAGCAGAGCCTGGGCTTGTCCAGTGGGGCAGGAGGAGCACGGAGAGGCAGCCAGCCCCTGCCCTGCTCACGGTCCCCAGCTCCGGTCCTGGGTCAGGGCTGTGTTGCAGGCAGGGGGGAGCACCCAGAGCTGGAGCACAGCTCGGCTCTGCTGTACACTGGATTGGTGGAGAACGGTGATGAGTAAATTGCAGCTGTTCTTGCTCCTCTCTTCTGTTCACTAAATCCCAGCCTGATTTGGGTTGAAGGGACCTCAAAGCTCATTGAGTTCCAGCCCCTGCCATGGGCAGGGACCCCTTCCCCTGGAGCAGCTTGCTCCAAGCCCCTGTGTCCAACCTGGCCTTGAGCACTGCCAGGGATGGGGCAGCCACCCCTGGAAGTTACTGGGAACCATCTGTCCCTGGGCTGTGCATCACTGCCCGGGACCCGAAGGGGGGTTTGTGCCTGCTCTCAGCCCCGTCCAGCTGCACACTTTGGCCAGGGCCAGGGCCTGAGGAATGGAGCCAGAGACAGGATCTACGGAGTGAGGCCAGACTTCCTGGGAATGAGAAGCTGTGGAGCTCTGCAATGGGCTTGGAGGGGACCAGGAGCCCTGGAGCATCCCCCAGGCTGTGGAAAGGGGATGGGAGCTACGGGAGAGCCTCTCCTCACCCTGAGTCTGCTCCTGGGGCCGTTCACACTGAGCTAAGGAGCAGCTTTCCCTGGGCTTGGCCGGAGCTCTCCAGGACCACAGGCAGCTCTGGGCTTCCCTGCCAGGCAGCCGGGGCAGCAGCTCAGGCCCTGGGGGTGAGCCACCCCCAAGCCAAAGCGGGGAGCTCAGGCCCTCCAGGGGTGCTCCTCTTCTGCTGTTTCTCCAGCTGAGACTCCCCTGCCTTAAAGAACGGGCTCAGGGGGCTGCCTCCCGTTCACCTGTGCCCTGCCACCCCGCAGCCTCCGTGTTCCCAGCAGCCTTGATCCATGCTCAGCCACAAAACAACTGCCCCTTCTGTATCTGGGTGCACTGACCCAGCTGGACCTCAGCCTTCTCCCACCTTGCTCGGTTTGAGCTCTTGCTGCTGGAGCTGCTTGTCCTGAAGGAAGAGGAGGCGTCAAGTGGTGGCAGCTCTGCCAGTCCCCCCACGCTGAAGCACACATGCTCGGAAGGCCTGAGGCCTTCAGAAGGAGCTGCAGATGGTGTGCAATGGATGACATCAACCAGGCTCATGGGGCGCTTTCAGTGTTGCTGCGCTGTTGGACTGAGGAGGGTCACTGACCAGGCTGGGGGTGCCCCATGTGTCCCCCAGGTCCATAGATGTGTCCTTATGGTGGGTTAGCTCTGAAGCTCTTCTGTCCCTGTTCAGGGTCAAGGTACCTTGGTTCCACTATTGTGGGTACCACTTGGCTTCCACAGGTCCCTGTGTGGTTCCCAGCAGGCTGAGCCCAGCACTGCCAGATGCATGGAGATGCCAGATACCAGGAGATGGACCCTGGGACAGCCAGGCACATAGAAACAGAATCCCAGCCTTGTTTGGGTTGGAAGGGACCTCAAAGCTCCTCCAGCTCCAACCCCTGCCATGGGCAGGGACCCCTTCCACTGGAGCAGCTTGCTCCAAGCCCCTGTGTCCAACCTGGCCTTGAACACTGCCAGGGATGGGGCAGCCACAGCTTCTCTGGGCACCCTGTGCCAGCGCCTCAGCACCCTCACAGGGAAGAGCTTCTGCCTAAGAGCTCAGCTCAGTCTCCCCTCGGGCAGGTTCAAGCCATTCCCCTTGGCCTGTCCCTACAGGCCCTTGTCCCAAGCCCCTCTCCAGCTTTCCTGCAGCCCCTTCAGGCACTGGAGCTGCTCTAAGGTCTCCCCGGAGCCCAGCTGGGGCTCCACATTCCAGGGCAGACGGGCCCTGTGGTTGTCGGCTACCTAAGGCGGCCCAGCCCCAGGGCTGTCGGAACCCCGGCTCGGCTGGATCCCGGCGCTGCTGCACCCCTGGGTGCCATCCCCACGCCGGAGTCACGGGATCCCCAGGAGCCCCCGGAGCCCCGGGCTGAGCTGGGGGCCAGGACCCGCACCCTTCCCTCGGGGATCCCCCCGCGCATTCCTCGGCGCTGCCCACCCGGGGACCCCCGGGCCCGTCGGGGCGGCTCTGCCCGCGGTGGGGGCGCGGCCCCCGGAGCCTGGCCCGGCGTCACGGGAACCAATGCGGGAACCGCTGCTGCCGGGGGGGGGGGGGGGGGGGGGGGGCGGGGGGCGGCGGCGGCGGAGCGCTCACACTGCGGCTTCCGCCCGCCGAGCAGCGGCCAGGGCAGGGCGGGCGCCGGGCACGGTGGAGCCGGGGCGGGCGGCGGGGAGAAGCGCGGGGGGGAAGCGCCCTGTATGGGATGGGCCGGGTCAGGCCGGGCCCCGCCGCTCCGACGGTGATGGCGGCCCGCGGGCTGCGACCGCCCCGCCGCGCCCGAGCCGGAGCCGCGGAGCTGCCGCTGGTGCTGGTGCTGGTGCTGGGGGTGCTGAGCCCCGGAGCCGCGCAGGAGCTGAGCCCCCGCGGCAGGAACGTCTGCAGGGCCGGAGGGTAGGAGCGGCGGGACCGGACGGGACGGGACCCAGCGAGCGGCGGGGCCGGGGCGCGGGGTGCGGCGGGATGGGGAGGGGGGGACACGGGACACACACACACACACACACACACACACACACGGACCCGGGGCTGGGCGCCTGCTAGGGTGAAATCCAGCTTGTGAGGAGTTGAGACGGGGGGAGCCGGGAAGGGGCGAGGAGCTCGGCCCGCGCGGGGCCGGGGATGGGGGTCCGGTCCTGGCCGCCGGGAGAGCTGCGGGGAGCCGGTTCTGGGCACACCGGGCCGGTCCTGCACGCCTTTGGGGCAGCCCTGCTGCGCGGAGCCGGTTCTGAGTGCTCCGGGGCCGGTCCTGCACTTCGCGGCGGCCGGGAGTGCTGTGGAGACCCGGTCCTGCAGCCCCCGGGGCCGATCCTGCTGTGGGGACCTTTTCTTGGGTGCCTCCGGTGATCATCGAGGCGTGCTGTGGGGATCAATCCTGCACCCCTGGGGCCGGTTCTGCTGTGGTGCCTCCGGGCATCGGGTTGCACTGGGGGGGGGGGTGGGGGGGGCGGTCCTGTACCCCCCGCAGGCAGTCCCATGGCCGAGCAGGATGCAGGATGCTTTGGGTACGCTGGTGGAGCTGCCCAGGGCTGCTCGAGATGGTGGACTTGGCAGCTCCAGCACCCTCGGGTTTGGTTTCAACAAGCGAGTGCTGGCACTACCCCCCGGGGTCACATCCTGCCTGCCTGATCGGGGCGGTGACAGAGCCCTGGGGGTGCCACCTCCTTGTCCCCACTGAGCTCTGCCTCTACCACAGGTCACTGCAGAGCATCGCCTCGGGCCAAGCTTCTCTGCAGCACAGGGGCTTGGTGCTGGCCCCAGTCAAGGGGGGAGAGTGCCCACAGCCACTGCCTCCTGGCTGGGAGAGCTCCAGCCCCTGCCCTTGCTGGGGGGCCCAGGCCATAAATGCACCTTTACATCTCGCCTGTGAGGTCAGATGAGTCCACAAGGAAAACATGTGCTGAGAGCGAGAGGGGCCGCATAATGGCTCCATTCAGCAGGGCCGCAGGGGCTGGTGCCCCCTCCTCAAGTTACAGCCTGAGTTTCCTAAGGAGGCATTTCAGGAGCCAGAGCGGTGGCTGCTGTGGATGTGGGATGTGGAAGTGGTTCCTCCTCGCTGCCCATCATCTGTCCCAGTAAAACTGCCACCATGTCCGGGGATGGCAGCAGGAATGTGAAACAGTGTCCCCCCTACCCTGTCCTGTTCCCAGCATCCAGCCCCACGTGCTGAGGATGCCGTGTCTGAGTGCTTCCCTTTGCACCATTCCTGCTGGAGGGATGCTGCACCCAGCGCTGGGGGCCTTGGACACTGGGCATTCGCCAGCAAGCGGGCAGGATGCAGGGAGTGATGTCCATCCTCCATGGGGCCTGGAGGCAGCCTGGGTGCCAGACAAGGTGGGGAGGGGACAGCCCCTGAGATGTCCTCCTTGGCATGGAGGATGCCCCATGTGTCACCATCAAAACCCACCTTAGTGCCTCCAAGAACTGGGGTGCTGTGGGTCCTTCCCTGGCCCTGGGGCTTTGGGACAGGTCCCAGTGTCCCCCACCCAAGTTGGGTGAAGCTGCTGGTTGGATCTGTGGTTGTGAGATCTCCATCCCTTGAGGATGCCAGTCATGAGTTTGGGGGGGGCTTGAGAGGAGGATTCTGCTTCAGCTCCTTCTGTGACCTCCTGGCTAGTGAGCAACAATCTGAGGAGCTATGTGGGGCAGAAAAGGGATGTGTGGGGGCAATCTGGTGTTAGAGTTTTCTTTCCTAATGTTGAAGTTCTTTTATAACCAAGTTACAAGCTGGGGTGCTACTCTCCGATGCTGGTGTTTGGGGTGCAGGTGGTGCCTGGGCACTGCCTTGTCCCCATCCTGTTCTCACCAACGCTTTCTTTTGCTGAGCGTTGCTTTTGAGCTTTTGCTTCTTTCCTTTCTCTGCCTGAAGAGTTTCCACGATCCTGCTCCAGGGAATCTCTGCCTTGCACCTCGGCGTTGGGGTTGGGCTGCGGACCTGGAGCTGGCGTCATCCAGGGGGGATGCTGCTGGCTGGGACCCCGTGGTCCCTGTGTGCCACAGGGGGGGGAGCTGGGTGGCACCAAGTGATGGGTGATAGGGAGAAAGAAGGAGCTCAGTGCCAGGGTGATCCTTGGGAGAAGCAGTGGGGTGGGGAGGACTCAGGATGGCCACAGGGTGAGGAGGGGACAGCAGTGCTGTGGGCTGTGGGGACACGCTGTGTGCTCACCAGCTGAGAGCAGG